GCCACCAAAAAATTATGTGAAGAGAAGAATATAGAATTAATCATTTTCCCTCGTGGCACTGCTTCGGTTGAGGACTCGGCATTAAGCCTTAAAAACCTTTTGGAGGAGAAATTAGAAAAAAAAACTTAAAAATAATATTATGCCAACCAAGAAGAAAAAAATAATAATGTCAGTGGGTTGTATTTTTTTCGCTCTTATTTTAGTGGGATGAATGATTGGCGGATTGACGGCACGGATGGAAAAGCAACCAATTGCCGGAAAAAAATTGCCCCAGCCAAATGCCGAGATAAGCAAAGAAAAGTTAAAAATTAAAAAAACGACTGGGCAAACGTATCATATAATTAGTGAATGAGAAAGAAAAAATTCGGGCGGTAGTAGTGATCTTACTGCGTCAGAGAAAAACATGCCTTTACTCATTCAAGATTGGGTGAAAGAAAATTGAAAAAAAGAAATATTACTTAATTGAAAAGCAGAAATAAAGGATAATTTATGATTAGTTAAGGAAAGACGAAAAGAATTAAACAAAATTATTTATTATAGTTGATATGAAAATAGCCAAAATAAAATAATTAGTGAAATTAAATGCAACGAATAAAGGGGATTCTTTTAGTTTCGGAAAGTGGCCTAATGGCAAGGCACCTGGTTTGGGACCAGGGGATTGTGAGTTCGAGTCTCGCCTTTCCGACCATTTTTTAATTTTTAGTGAGTTTTTAAGAAGTTGATAATATTAAAATACTCTTAGTAAACATATGACAGAAGCAAAAAAAAAAAAAAAAACAACTTTTTTAAAATTTTCTTAGTGACAAGCCTATTAGTAATTGCCGTAGTTGGTGGAGGATTTTTTTGAAACAATAATTCAAAAAAAACCAAAAATAATCAGCCCGAGCAACTGCCAAAGCCGAGCAATAACCCTTTTGATGATAAGTCCCAGCCACGAGACGAGCGGAGGGAAAATTGAATTAAAGAACGAATAAATTTAATTAACCAAGAGAATGACAAAGGAGACCAAACTGGAAAAAACGAGCAAGCCAAAAAGAAAGTTTTGAGTTATTATCAGTCTATTGCACCCACTAACGACCTTGACCGAACCATGGATTTGTTAACCATTTATTACACCTACCAAAGGGCCAAAAATGCTACGCCCACTTTTTGCCTCAGAAGTAATTTCAGATTACAACCAAAAATGGGAAAAATTTTTTAGCCAGTATCGCGAGGAGCCGTTTCCAGTATTTCCATCCACCAGCAAGGAGTGAGAAAGGGGCATTGAGCAAGCCAAAAAAGGCATTCAAAAAATTGCTGAATCAGACCCCCAAATAAATGCTGAACTGGACTGAATAACTATTTGAAAAACTATTGAAGCGAGGAAAGATAAACCATTTTCTTTTCGCTCTCCGCTAGGTCGAGAAGAAGGAACTAATAAAATTAAAGATTTTATCAAAAAAACTAATGAGGAATTAATTAACCATCAGCAAAATTATCCTGAAATTAACTCTACT